GGCGCCCGGACCTCCACCAGCCCGCGCCGTCGCTGCGCGGGAGGGGCCGCCGCCTGCCTGTCCCCGCCTCCGCCGCGCCTGCACCCTGCGCCCTGCCCTTGGCAGTGCGCCCTGGGTACCTGGACCCGGGAAGCGGCTGGGCGCAGAGGAGCGGGGTCAGGATGGGGCGGGGGAGATGAAATGTCAGAAGCCAAGGTGAGAAGGCAGAGACCAGCGTTTTCCTCCAGCCCCAAGTAGTGGCCACAGCTGCTCTGAGCAAGTTGTGTTGCTCTTTTAGCCTAAGTGTCCCTAAAATAGGCCATGAGGACATGATGATGACTGTGGGGTGAGCGCGCCATAGGTGAGTGGGTCATAGGTGCCGGGACCTAGGGACAGACTTCTCTTTCCTGGAGAAGCCACCCTTTGCACCTACCATCCCCCTCCACCCTGAGGCAGGTGCCACTCAGCTTTGAGCCTTGGGCCCCCTCAAGCAGGTGACATGGAAACAGAGGGAAAGGGGACACGTCTCAGTGTCACTCCACAGTGAAAGTCGAGGGAGGTGAGGGCCCCAGATCTCAGAAAGTGGGAGCAGCGGGCTTGGGCTTCAAGGGTCACCAGGGGACACTGGAGACTAGGTGGATGCCTGGAGCCTTAGAGAGCTCTGGGAGCAGCTGGGCCGGCCTTGTGTGAGCACTCCCTCCCTGCTTGATGCTGTGCCCTGGGGGTCTGGTCGCCTGATGGTCAAGCGTGGCAGAGTGTCTGTGGCTGATCAAGGGCCACTCCCTCACTACCAAGGGCTAAGGGTCCGCCTTTGATTCCCAGGTCTCTTTTATAAACACAGAGATGCCCCTCTGTCATAGCTGGAGTTCTGAAGGCCCTCTGAGGGGGCTACCGGAACCAGCACTGTTTTCTTGGAAAGCCATTTACAATAAATGTTACCCTGTCACAGTCTCTCAGCAGAAGAGTCTGACCTTGTTTTAATGATGTCTGCTTGTTGTCAGCATGAGGCTTGGAACAGCAGTGTGATGTGTGACTGTCTCCACTCTCTCCACCTCCTTGCTTCCTTCCAGAGACCCCTCTGTGCTTCCATTGCTACTCCATGTGTGAGAAAAGACGGTTGAATTGGTAAGTAGGTCAGGAATACCGTTCTCTAGGATGTCCCAGGATGTGTGCAACTTAAATATTAAACAGGGAGGAGAGAAGGAAAACCACTTAGGAGGAGAAAGCAGGTAACAAAGAGCTGTTTAAGATGACTGTGAAGGGGATCACATTCATGGAGTGCTCCAAAGTGCTTGTTCTGGAGTTTCAGAACCCAAAGATGCAAGCTCTAACCACAGGGCCACAGCGAGGCGTAGGGGAAAGAGAGAGATCCTGGTTAAGGTTTCTTGTCAAGATGGCTGGGTCCAAGTCAGATGCTTCCTTCATTGGTGATCTTGGGCAGGTCGTGTGCCCTCTCTCTACCTTAGTTTCCTCAGCTCTGAAACTGGGCTACTAATTGGAACTACCTGCAGTGTGGTTGTGAGAATTAAATGGGAATGCATGGGCAGCTCACAGCACAGTGCCTAGCACAAATTGAGAGCTCAGGAAATGTCAGCAATGTGTTCATGCGATGAATAACTTGTTGAGTTCTGATCATGTCAGGCACTGTAGTTGGTGCTAGGGAGACAGCAATGGCTCAGACAAAACCCCTGCCCTCCGGGCGCTTACATGCTGACATTCTGATTGCCACATCATAGTGATGGACACAGGAAGCCACACCAAACTCCAGCCCCACCAGTTGAAGGAAGGTGCCTCCAGGGAAATGCCAGTCCCTGTGCCCCCTGCCCCCAACTCTGCCACCACCCCTCAAGCACCATGGCCTACAGCTGAGTCTTCAAACCTTTTGTTGACACCTCTTACAAGATTTTTTTCTTTTACATTTATGCCTTAAGTTGGCATCTAATGTGGGTTTTTTAATCATTAATTTAAACAGCTTGAGGTATATAATATATTGACCTTTCTATGTATCTCTCTTTTAAATGTACCAAATAGAATAGGAGCATTATGAAAATGCAAAAGCTCCATATTATACCTTAAAATACAAACAAGTCTCTCTTTAACGGTCAAAAAATTTACATGGTATTCTTTACAATTTCAATGTTTTGATTCCATTTCAACAAATATTATCCTCCTGTAGTGTTTTTATCACTTAAATTCTATATTCATCACTTTATCTGTTATGCGAACTGCAACAAATACATGAATATGCATTAACTTTTAAAAATTTTTGTATGGACATTAGTCTCCAAAATTTCCTTTAGGACTATGTGGTTATAACAATTAGTGATCAAGATATCATATATAAACATGAATTTTGGTAAATAATTGTTAAATATGAAAAGGAAAATCGTATTAGAAATGCATTACATAATGAGAGGGATGTTGGGGGAATTTGGGAGCCTTGGTGAAAGAGACACCAATATTGTCTCTGGTTGGTGCCCAGGATGCTTTTATGTCTCAAAACAGTTGGGTTGGGAAGGGGTGAACCTTCCTCTTGCGCAGTGGGAGATGGTAGATCATCGAGAGCGGAGGTGATTCAAGAGCATCCTCATGTCTCCACCCAGGGCCATCGCAGTTAGACCAATTTTGACATAAAAGACCTGTGGAAATGGAAGCTCTCTCAAACAGCTCCGAAAATCTCCCTATATATATCCCAGTGACCTGGCATTCCAGGTTGAAGAGCCCAGCCTAGGACGTCCTGCCTCGCCTGGGCCTTCAAGCTTCCACAGTTTCTTCTTGTACCGCTCAGTCCCTGGCTTCTCCCTTCAGCCACAGCAGTTCCTCTCAGTGCTTCTCTGCCTCTGGACCTTTGTACATTCTCTTTCCTCGTCCTGTCCTAATGTCACTTCTTGGGGTAAGCCATCTTTTCATGGACCCCACCCTCAGCATCAGACAGGTCCCTCTCTTATAAACCCTCACGGAACTATTACTTTCTCCAGAGTGCACCTCTCAAAGAGGAATGATACTCTGATAAGCACAGTTAATTATCTCTGTCTCCTCTGGTATCAAGACCAGGGTTACTCTCTGATAAGCTAATGAGTGACTGAGGCAAAAGTCTCAATCATTCAAGGTTTTTTAAGCCAGCTTTAGGGCACATCTGGGAAAAACACAAGCCACAGGCACCTGTGGCTGTTTTTCCAAAGGGGTTTTTAGAAATATTTACACATTTACTTAAAGAAGGGGAAGGCATGTAGAAAGGGGGACAGGTAGGCGGTAAGGTAAATGGTTATACTCTTGTGAGACTTTCATTGGTGCCCAGAAAGTCTACGTTTTTTCATAAGACAAGGTGATTGTTTGAAGACAAAAAGGCAGTCAAGGAAGAGTCGATTATGCAGATGGCTCTGGGTAGGTTGGAGGAGTGACTGATCTCATCTTTGTTCTGTACAAAAATAAGGAAGCTGAGCTTACAATCGACAATATCCGTGTGGAATTGAACGGACTTCAGTTTTGGGAACTGGGCTGTGATTATAGATCCAAAGCTGCAACTGGCATGTCTTTATTTATGGGAGGTCAGCAAAGAATTCCCTTGAAGGTTCTGTGGGGGCAGGCCTGAAGGCCTTTGACTTTTCCATGGGGAGCCGGCTAATGCGTAATGCTGGTAATAGCAACTCATTTGGAAGAGGGTGTTGCACAACTCAGTGTCCAGGGTTAACCTTCCCTTTTACATAAGGAGTTTGGGTGGTCCTGTGATTTTTTTAGCTTTCTTTTATACCCTTCTGCTCACTCATCACTGATATTCCAGAACACAGTCAACGCTCAGTAAATACCTGCAAAGAGGATGTGCACAGGAAATTGGGCTCCCTTCTGATGCAGAGCTGTGGGAAGCAGCTAGAGAAGCCCCTTTGCCGAAGGAGAAGGGCGTGTCTTGTCTTTCTTCCCCACTGGAGTCCACTTTTCAAGGACCAGGCTTTGAGGATGCCACCTAATGAACACAACCTTTATTAGTTCTCCTGGGAACCCAGACTAGGGCTCAGCCACCCAGCCTTCTACATCCACCTACTTGCACCCTTTTGGACCGATAAGTGCCAAAGTTGGCTTTTTCATTAAATTTCAATATTTAGGAAGATGATTCCTAAATAGGAAGAAGCCACTTGGGCCATAGTAGTTATTTGAAGTAGACGTTATTTGAGAAGCACTAATATGAGATTAAGCTATAAATACCATCCTAACTGGATCACTTTTACAAATTATATGACCTTGGGTGTGCCACTTAACCTTTATGTGCCTCAGTTTCTCATCTGTGCCCTGGAGCATAATAATATTCCCTCCCTCACAGAATGGTTAGAGCAATTAAGTGGGATGAGCCTTGTATAGTGCCTGACGCTCATTAGGTGTTCTCTATTATTGGAAAATTGCTGAATACAGGGAAGGTATGGGTATTTCATGGGGGGAAATCCGCAGGTGCTATCCCTACCAGAGAACTTAGAAATAAGGAAAACAACCTCACATGCTGGGCATCAAGCTGTGATATGCAGATGATGGGTCAGAGCAGAAATGAATAAAGGCATCCCAAAGAGACCCAATGGCTCCTAAGCTAGCAAGACCTGATATACTAATTACCA